ACATTTTCTATGTGACAGAGTCAAGAACGGAATTTATTTCCAAAGGAAATCCCCAAAATTCCCTTAAGCAAGATTCTTCAACAAAAAGGTGAAATGAGTCCGTAGGGGGCTCAAAACGCAAATGAAAGGGTTTTTCATGAAAATGATTTTGCACACAAACGTAAATAGTGATTTCGAGCGTGCGGAAATAGTCCGCAGCTCCCGAAAATGGCCGAGTCAAAATCCGACCCCCCGACGGCCTAAAAGGCGAAAATAAACTTGAAATGGAAGACTTGAAAACCAAAATTAACAAATGATTGAAAATTACCATTTGGCCCTTAGCCACACTTTCTACATGATTAATGAGACCCTATGAAAGAATAAAAATAGAATTCCCACACCCGATGCAAACATGGTGAAACAATAACTTGACATTTTTCAATATTTTCATAATATTTCATGAAATCATAAATTATATAGGATACAAAATACATGTCATTGGCCTCTGGCCTCATCTCATACATGTCAAATACATTGTAAAGAGTGTACTCATGTACACACTACATAAATGGAATCAAATATACATATTTTGATAACTGAGGCTACAAGTAGCATTTCAAGCCAACCTTTACAAAAATTAAAGCCTTCAAGTCAACTACCATCCAAGCAATGATGAACATCACGCACCAAGTCTTCATACTTGAAACAGCCCCCCAGTAACTTTGGGGTAAGTAAATAAGTTTACTCGTAGAGAATGAGCATGCATCGACTCGATTTCTTTAGAGATTTTTACGTGAACTTGAAACAATTCAAAATAGGTCATGCCACCTAGTGTCGATGTCAAAGGTTAGACTCAGGAAGCATCTAAAACTACTCATGCAATTGAAATGAGATACATGACATACATGCATACCAGTTACAAATGTACTAAACGAAGATGAAAACATGTGAGGTAAGTATACTAAACACAGGTATACTAAATGAGATCAGAAATACATAAAGCAAGTATACAAGACACGAGTATACTAGATGGAATCTAGATACAAGAAGCAAGTGCACAGTTTCAAGTATACTGAATGAAGTCTAGATACATGAAGTGAGCATGATGTCTATGCATTCAAACAAGGTAGGAAGAACTCCATATAACAAGACAAGGTTCTTATATCTTCAAGAGATAACACTTGAAATCTAAGGGTTTAAAGGTTTTGCATGTTGATATAAATCATTACATGTGGTCCATGCCACCTAGAATCTAAGTCAAGTTACACATATAGGATCATTCCTAAGTCACGATAGCATAAAGTTACATGATACGAGGTAACTAAGAAAATTAACAAGATTGAAGCAATTCAATTAACACGACAAAGAAAAGACGTGAAATCAAGGATAATGCATAATATCTATGCAATTTAAACGAGTTGGAACATTTCATATAACACGAAAAGGTTCTTAAATCTTCAAGAAATGCAACACTTAAATTTTAAGGAGTGAAATCAAAGATGAAGCATAAAATCTATGCAATGAACAAGGTTGGAATATTCCATACAACACGACAAGAGAATACTAGAATACAATGATCACATTATCAATGCAATTTACATGTTCGGGACATACCAATTAACACGACAAAAAGTATACTCGGATACAAGTTAACAAGGATTTCATTATCAATGCAATTAACATGATTGGAACATTCCAATTAACACGACAAGAAGAATACATGATATAAAGGATAATGCATAATATCTATGCAATGAAACAAGATTGGAACATTCCAATTTACACGAAAAGGTTATACATGAAATCAAGAATAAGGTATAATATCTATGCAAGTAAACAAGATTGGAGCATTTCACATACACGATAAGTTTAAATCTTCACGGAATAACAACTTAAAATTTAAAGAGTGAAATCAACCAATGTGGAAACTCGGATATCACCCGGATTAAAACTATACTCTTGGGATCACTTTAGGGCTACTAACCCACGGGTACCTTCCCCTAGTGCGCACTATAGTGTAGGGAGTTTTCTATCTCCCATACTAGAACCAAGTCCTAGCCATGTCAATTCTTAATTGATATCCCAAGTTCCAAAATCAATAAGTTGTGTAACCAAGATAGTATCAAGATACAAGAGATGCATTAAACCACATTCCATGCACAACCAAGATTTTGGAACACACAAGTCATGCCCTAGATTCATCAACTATAATGGCATGTGAAATGTCAAGAAATCATAGTGTGCATCTATATAGGCTACAACCAAGATAAATAACACATGGGATCCATTGATGAAGGTATACAACTAGTATAAGATTAATGATTCAATCATATGTTTAACAACACTTGAACAATTAAATCATTCCAATGCTAGGGTGTAACTTCATTAACTACATTAATGAAGCTAAGTTGCAACAAGTCATGATACATGCTAAATGGGCAAAAGCCCCATGAAACACAAGTCCAAATCATTAGAACACTAAGTAGAAATTAATTAACCTAATTAATTTAATTTTTCTAGGAATCAAGGTTTTCCAAAAATTCTCAAAATAACATATGTGAATGTCCATTTCATGGTGATTACAAATATCACATCAATTAATAAAAATGAGCAAGATACAAACATGTATAATTTAATTAATTAAATTTCTAGATTTCAAAGGTTGTTCAAATGATTTCAAATTAATGTATATCAAGCACTAAGTCATGGTCATACCATATATCAAGTCTAAAATGGAATACAAGCAAAACACAATTTACTAGAATTTAAATCAATTTAAATCCATTTAATCTCTAGATTTGAAAACTCATTCAAATGGCTCCAAATAATTATATAACAAAGATCAAGTCAAGGCCATGCCATTTATCAAGTCTAAAGTGAGTTGTATGCAAACTATGATTCATCATTAATTTCACAAATTGATATAGAACATGCATACAACTTGTATTTCATACAAAAACAAGTAAAATCACTTGGAAAATAAATTATAGCACCCCCTACCTCACAAGAGGATTGTTCCTCTTGAATCTAAGGCTAGCAAACACAAAATGGTAAACCTTTCTAGGGTTATGTAGAGGAGGATGAGGGGAACAAAAAGTGTTCCAAGCTTCATGATCTAAGGTGAGTGGAAGGGCCTCAAAAATCAAGGTCAAGGCTTAAGCATCAAGCTCCTCTAATGGTGGCTAGGGTTTTTGGTGAGGAAGGAAATGAAACAATGAGATGAAGTATGAGTGGAGGAATTAGAAATCCTCCACTCACTATGTGATCTTACACCATGGTCCACACATACAAGTCTTAGTCAATTGCACAAAACCCTTCTTTAAAACCATAATCCCAAAGTGGCCCAAAAATAATTACAAGACTAAATTGTGAGCCTACACTTGTTACAAATCTAAGGCTCCTTCCTAGGCTTAATCCCAAGCCTACACTTGTCAACCATCTAAGCCAACAAGTACACAAATCCTAGGCCAACAAGTGGGTGAATCTACACCCTCCACATGTCATCATCCAAGGCATCTAAGTGTCTCCACACAAATGTCAACAAGTACGTGGACCAGTGAGAGTGTTACACTTGTCACACTTTCCGGAAATTACAAAATTGTCCTTTTTGAAAATATCTTTCAAATTAAATTGCAAAATGGTCTCTAAGACGAAAAATAATTACTTTCAGTAATTTCACAAGTGACCCCAAAAGAAAGAAGAATTCCAAGGAAAGTGTGCATCCACACCCCTAAGGAAGAAAGTGAACAAATAACATGCATTTCTAGGAAAGTAAAAATACACATGGCACGGAGTTTAAATATCATGGATGCATGTAAAACTGGAATCAAATTTGAACACGAGAAGTGAGGTTGTGCTAACAATTTGACAAACGAGATAAGACGAAAGATGAATAGTGTCAAAAAAGTGAAAATGTGGAAATGACTTGGTCCTTAAAGGAAGTTGTCAATCCGAACGAAAGAGTCTCAGAAACCATTTCCGATCACTCGAGACGACACTCAGTGATGAGAAACAGAACTCAGAAAAGAAAATTAAACGGAAAAAATTTATCTGTGAAATTTCAGAAAAAGAAAAGGAAGGTAAATGACCGGGTCATTACAATTGGGGAGGCTAAAATGATTTGCCCTAAAACTATATATGGCAATTTGGGAGGCTGAAATGATTTGCCCTAAATATATATATATATATATATATATATATATAATAATAATAATATAATCAAATATATATAATATACATATATAAAATATATAAATTTCTGAAAAAGAAAAAAAATTATATAAAAAAAATTTATATAATAATATAATCAAATATATAAATTTATATATATATATATATATATATATATATATATATATTTCGTCCTTTTTTGACCAGATATTTTAGATATTTTATTCTTTTTAATTAAATTTAATTTTAATTTTTTTCTAATATCTACAACCTGACTTGGAATGTGCTTAATATTAACATTACTTACGTAAATATGAATGGTGGGAATGGTAATTGAAAAAGAATAGCTGTGTGTCAAAAAATAATATTTTGCATAAAATGCATCATTGGAACAGAATTGCTAAAATATAGTATTTTGAAACTGTAACCCTGTCAAAATATAGATTTGGCATCCAAATTTAATATTTTACCATTAGAGATGCCCTAATATGCAGTCAACCTTTTGGGGAAAATGGATTGCAAGTAACCAAGCCATTACAATCTGTTGACCAATCTTTATCTTTTTTGAACCCGAAATGACTAGATAGATTACAAGTAACATATGACAAAGAGTACATAATTGAGGAGAGAAACTGGTGTTAAAATTCATATGCAAAACGCTTCCATTTTGGGCTCATTTGCAATTGAATAAACTAAGTTCATACACGTTACACTCACAAAAAAACTCCTGGCAAATTGTGACATTACCATAAATTAAGTGCATGGATATCAAAGCAAAGGAATAATGTTTCCTTTTTGAGGCATTATTACACGGTGTCAAGTCAATAACTAATTGACACCGTAAACAAATATTTTGTTTTATTTTGTTTACATGTTAACTAGTGACCGGAGGGAATGAATGGTCTCAGAACCGTATCATAATTTCTGATTATAAAATGCTGCTCACTGTCTGATTAAGTCTCTTGCTTTGTCACACTCTAAATTTTAAATATGAAACGCATGACCTTCCCCTTCTGTCTCATGGATCTCAATCGCACCCGTCCACCTGCTCCGACCCAACGCCTCATAGTAAACCCATCCTCTGTCCCTCGTCAAATCCTCCTCAGCCAAAAGCACCAGCACCTTCCTACACCCCAACCCCGCCAAGCTAGGCGCACCCTCCGCTACCGGGTTAACACGCGGGTCATTATTCTCTAGTGACGACGGAAACACCATCTGCCAAAACCGATCCATCTCAGCCTTCCTATCCATATTCAACCCCTCCGACCTGACATGATCCGAACCCCAGAATGAAGGATGAACGAGTGCCAACCCAAGAATTTCAACTTCCAGCCCGGACCTGCCACCTCCGGCCATCATGGCCAAGTTATGAGCTATGTTACCACCGGAAGTCTCACCGCCCACCAAAACCCTGTCAAAGTCTGCATGGTCGTTCAGCCAATCCTCAGATCCGTCGCGGTTACGGTGGGAAGCCACCCATCGTAGTGTAGCCCATGAGTCTTCATAGGCAGCTGGAAGATGGTGCTCAGGTGGTCTTCTGTAGTCCACTGAAACAGCCACGATTTGAGCCTCGGCAACGAGTTTGTTGAGGTAGTTGTGATAGGAGGGACTGGAGGATGAAGAGACCAAGAAGCCACCGCCGTGGAAGTAGAGGAGGACAGGGAGCTTTTGATCGGTGGTCACTGGAAATTTAGAAATATCATAATAGAAATTAATAAGATAAATAAATTTCAAAATATCCTAATAAGAAAAATTAGTAAAATAAAAATAAAAAAAAAATTCTTACATTAATTGATATTTCCATTATAATTTTACAATTTTTTTATTTAAAAAAAAAAAAAAAGTGTATAATATTAAAAATAATAATTCAGTGGGAGTGACTGCCTCCACTCGACCCTTCTTACCTCCGTCCTTGTTGGTGGTGGTGAGGTTGGGTAGGTAGAGGCGAGCGGAGACATCAGTCTCGGGGATCATTGTTAGGTTTTTGGAGCAAATACCAGTTAGAGGATCGGTGGATGCTGGGACGGAGTCGGTGCCGAGAAGCCTTTCAACATGGCCGTCTTTGTATACTTGGAGGTATGGGAGGAACTCATAAGCTATTTCATGTTTGGCTGAGTCCAT